GTATATTTGTGTGTTGGAAACAAATTTAGTTGTTTTATAATTTATTTCTTGGTTTCAAACCTACTACTGACTTAGTGCCGGTAAATCGTATAGTATCCTGAGATCGATAAAAAAGATTATATTACTTATTCTACATATTCATGACGAAGGATGTTTTAATCATAACTGATTCTTACTCTACACAACAATAAACCTAGTAATCTAATATCAATATTTTGGTGGTCGAACGTGCCCCTGTCACTCACGATCATAGACCACACTACCCCACACTTAATCTCAAGTTACATGCGCTCACGCATAACAGAAGCTTAAATTGCCTTCATATCTATTGTCAAATAAAGCTACTGTCTCTTTAGTTATTGCTCACCTGACTGAAGACGATGATTTTATTATTAATAGTAGGTAGGTATCGAAATAGAATCGATTAATCATAATAAAACTGAAATTTAATATTAATTAATTCGTGGGACTCTCATAGCATCGATTGATATTTTTATTTAAATTAAATGTATATGTATTAATAAAAATGCGTTGGCCCAGACACAGACCAGATGAACGTCGAGGGTTGAATCGCACGGCAAATATCGTCAACATTGCTAAGATTTGTATGAATAAATGCTTGTTACGAATAAACTAAAAAATTGGAGCAATTTGTTTTTTGTCCACCATTATGACATTTTCACATTATGCCTAAGTAACAGATTCAATTTTGATTGCAAAAAGATGTAAAATAAAATGAGTATAGTCTGTTGCATATACAAAATGATTATTCAGGATTTTAGAATATCTGTGATGCTACCTTAAATATTTTATGCTCTGTGGAACTCTTGATAAAGCAATTTGTTATATATTGTTAAAATGTACGTGAATATTGTAATAAAAAGAATATTACATGATTACAATTATTTATTCTGACACTAACCAAGCATCAGCATAATTATAGTATTGTTGTTTCAAATTACTTATTACACATATTGGTCAAGCTATTGAAGTATATTTATATATTATTTTTATGACTTTATTTAGGAATGATTAAGACAGTTTTATTGAGGTTTTGTGAATCTTATTTCATTTAATTTTGATAAAATATTTATATTGAAGTATTGTAATATCGTGGACATCAAATGTTTATTACTTTCGATCAAATAATATTTAACGCAATCCATTTTCAAAATATACATATTTAAAATGAAACACACGCTGCAACCTTACATCAATAATATCAAAAGAAATGCATTTTCTAAGAATTTAAAAGAAATACAAGTCCATCAAGCTTGTTCGACTAGAAATAATTTCTCAGAACCTAGAGCAAGACTGGCTAATTGACGCCATATAGATTCGAATCACTTGATTTCCTTCACTTGAGCCTTTCTTTAGATTATCTTGATACTGTCACAATAAAGTTACACATAATGGTATTCAATAATCGTTTACATAAGTGAATGGAAATTTATTATAATTCTTATAATACAATCTTACTATTATGTTCTATAAGAAATAATTATGATTATAATTGAACGTTGCACGTTGTTATTTAAATTTTTAGTAAATGGCAAGAGATTATACTATACCCTAAGTGTTCAACTAATTTTGACTTAGTTTATTGCTTTCCTTGATAGGTATAGATAGTTGGATTAAAATTATTTTATAGTTAACAATCCATTTATTTATTAAGTACTTAATTATATGTGAATATTAATTTAAAGGCGTCAAAATAACCTTATATTTAGTAAGTAGTTATAAGCTGTAAAGTTACCTTATTTATATATTGAAGTTCACCACATCATATACATATAATGATATGTCTACATTATATGTTACAAGACGTCTTTTCCAAAACACTCGACAATTATGGTGAACATAAATGTTACAAAAAATAATTTTTTTATTACAATTTAAGATTTTCAAATGTGTAAATAGTTAATAGATTATTAAACTGTTTTTATTAATAAAACAAATTGTCGTGTGAATGTTTTAAAATATAACCACACACATACCTAGACATGGACAAATGTTTCTCAATAATCCATGGCAACGATGTCCAATTTTCATCAACAAATTGCAGTGCAATCAATAACGGTGTATTGCGCCACTTGATTCATTAATTTATCAATTTGTCACGACTAATACGCGTAGAAAGTTACAAGGCTCTATCTACATATATTGTTCTTTAGAAAATACAATATGTCTATTTAGCGATATTTCATACATAAATTTGAGAGAGAAAGAAGTGATACGGAAGTTGGTGCTCATCCATCAGCCAGAGAAGGTTTTATTGGGTCAGTCGATAGTAGCACCTGGAATTGAGTCAGGAGTAAGTCTAGCTGCTTTTTTCAACCTTCAGTGGAGTGGTAGTCTCACTCAATAAGGCTATGTAGACGATCCCCAACTAATAATGCGAAATCTATTCACCCAAAAACTCACAGACGACAATCGTATTATAAACTCCTTAATTGGGCAAAATTTCAAAGTTTCTTTTCAAAGCCAACACCGAAATATCGTTTGAAACGACCAAATACAACTTTTAGTGCAAAATAACCCGTATTGTAAGCTTAAGTTACGTAACTAATAAGTATCGCTTATTCAAATAATCTGTGTAATTGGCAGAAAATTGTAGTTTTTACAACACAATTTTTCATTGATTGTTATTTTTCCACGTAAATTAACACACAATTAAAATTATTTAATTTCATTACGTAATGCATGCAATGCATTTTTTATCTAAGTTTCGCTTTTTACTCTTCGAGTAAGTAATAGTACCTAACGCAGCGACCCTATGAAAGTTCCATAGAATCTCTAGTTCACGTTCTTATAGCCATACAATCTAATACATTTTTCTTTGATATTTATAAACGACTTTTGTGTAGCCGGATGCAATTAATTCTATTTTAAACTCGATCGATTTCTTGCGCGCGAACTCGTAGCAAAAGTGCTCGTTGTAAACCCATTCGCGTTCATCTTTTCTAAAAGTCTTTGTCAATTTATGAGAACAGACGTGGCAGAAACAATAAGTTGCTTAGAGTTGACGAACAAGTTCTTGAGTTACAGCACTTTTACTATCAGGTAAACTTTCTATTAGTATTCTGTTATTATATTTGTTTCGATTTGTTCTCTGAGTTTTTATTTAAACTATTTATGTTTTATACGTCAATTTTATTAATTCCTATAATATTAGGTCCTTACATATGAAATTGGCGTTTTGTATGGGAGGAACAAAAAGTCGAATATTTTTAAATATAATATATTTAATTAATCAAAGTATGAACCATTGTTTTCTATGCACTTTTGCCATCTCATAGGTAGTTCATTGATCCCTTTACTAAAAAAACCAGTACGACGGGAATCAATAAAATCTGTGAAGGCGATTTGGACTGCCCCATCAGAGTTAAATTTTTTTCCTTGCTTACTTATTTTTTTACTTTCCTAAGAAGTTGTCCAAATTTCGAAAAAAAATGGTAATCTGTTGGAGCAAGGTCCGGGGAGTACGGAGGATGTCTTTGACATTCCAATTGAAGCTCTTCTAATTTGGTAGCCGTCTGTTGTGCAGTGTGTGGTCTAGCGTTGTCGTGAAGTAGCAGTGGCGTGGAGCGATTGACCAGACTAGGTTGTATAGCCGCTAGCTTTTCCATCATGGTTTGCAATTGCTGACAATAGACATCAGCCGTAATAGTCTGGCCAGATTTGAGAAAACTGCAATGAACAATACCGGCACTAGTCCACCAAACGCTTACAAGTAACTTTTTTGGGGTTAATTTTCGCTTGGGGCAGGATTTGGCTGACTGGCCAGGATCCAACCATTGCGCTGAGCGCTTCCGATTATCGTAAAGAATCCATTTTTCATCACAGGTAATGATTCGGTTTAAAATACCTTCATTATTGTGCCGCTTCAGTAATGTAACGCAGCAGTCGACGCGCGTTTGCCGGTTGGCTTCAGTCAATTCGTGAAGTACCCATCTTTCAAGCTTTTTAATCTTCCCAATTTCTCTCGATATTTGCCTAGTGAGTGTCAACTAATAATTAATAAATATATAGTGCTCAGGCAAGCTTAGAATGTACGGAGTAGAATGAACCTTTAAAGGTTTATCCGAATCTCAATGGGAAATGGTTCCGTCCATAATTTGGCACTTTAGCCATAAAGCCTGTCCTATTACAAAACCACCCACAAACGATAATTTGAATAATCTATTTATATTGGCAATAAAGAACTAAATTGCCAGAACGGGCCGTTAATTTTTCATTGTTAAACGGCTAAACATCTTGAATAATAGCTTATTGTGGGTAATAAATTGTTATAGTTGTTTTGAGTGGGACGAAATTCGTTGCATTATCCTTTTTATCTTTTTTGTCTTATCAACGTTATTACTTAACGTATAAGCGCAAAAGTGTGGTATTTTATTGTTTTTACATAAAAATTATTACAAGTTTAAATTTAAACCCTGCCTACATAACTCGTAATCGTGCTTTGTTCCACGATCCTCACATCAACCCCAACTGTGCAAAAAACTGTTTCGCGCAGCCCGGACATACAACGACCAACCTTGACTTGTTTAAGCTTTCACGGAAATGCTTAAAAGGAGTATTAAGGATAATCATAGTGCATAATCACCAGCATCATGAGCGAAAATGTATTGAATATTTTTTGAAGTGAAAACTTCTTTAGCATCGTTGTGATTTTAAAGTCGATGAAACGAAATAGCGACAGTAAAAAGAGACAGACAAATAAATTCATAAGATTTAACGTGGGAGAAAATGAGATAGGAAGCATTATACAGTGTTTCTTATGTTCGTGGCTATCTTTGTACTCGGTATCGCACCCCCTCCATTCGTGTTTACCGAGTCATAGTGAGAGTTTGCTTGGGCCTCGTTGTTCGTGTGTTAGTACGTGTTTGTGTGCACATGCGTAGTACAAAGTTTGAGGAAAGGTATCACAACAGCCGTGGTATTTTGTTTTATACGTTTGTAGACGTTTTTCATCATTAGTATAATAAAATTCTTCACATATGCCGAAAACGAATGCAGAATATTGTCGCGATTATCGAAAAAAAAAAGAGGAAAAACAAGGTTAAAAGGACAGCAAAAAGTTCAACGGAACGTGTTCGTGAATTTCGTGCACGCCGAAACGCGTTGTTGAATGTGAAAAATGTCAGTTCTATTACTCATAATAACGATTTAACTGTTAAAAATAGTGAATGTTGTAAGTAGTCAAATATTTTCTAATCAACAAATTTTGTCCTTATACGCACTGCTTGTACATCAGATAAATAATCGCCGTACATGATGTCCATAACCTCATTCGTTACTTTAATTAAAAACACTCTTTGTAGTGAAAACTTCTTACTACACTAATTTAAAGTTTGTCCCACGTTAAATCTTATGAATTTATGTGTCTGTCTCTTTTTACTGTCGCTTTTTCGTTTCATCGACGTTCAAACGTTATTTTGGTTAAATAAAGAAATAAAAAAATAATTTAAAGAAAAGTCTAATACTACATTATATAATGAAAAAAAAAGTCTAATTTACATATAATTAATCATAAAAACTTTTTTAATCATTGTAGTTTTTATCAAAATTAATAATTGATATTAAACTTGAAAATTAAAATTACAATTTAAATTTCAATTTATTGTACATTCGTCTCATTATCGAAACCAAAATTTTGAAGGTTTCACTTGTACCACGTGTAAATTGCATACGTTATTTTATTTTTTCATAATTTTTTTGTTCTATAATTTTTTATCAAACATGAAATAAACAAATTTCTGATAAAATTTTGGTTGGAAATTTAATAAAAAAATTATTCTATATTCTAACGAATTTTTGAAGTTACAGATGGTGCAAATGGGAATAATTCTGAGTCCAGTAAAGATAAACATGAAGAATCAATACTACCAATGTCCACCATGTCACCTCTAACAATTAAAACTTCGCCAAAGTCATCATCTGCTCCTGACTCTCCTCAACAATACATTCAACAAAAAATAAAGATGTATGACAGAGATGATGATGATTATTTAGCTAGACGTGAACCTTCACCAAAGGAGGAAACCAAAGAGAGAGATAGGATGTTTGTTGAGTTTGAGAAAGAGAAGTTGTATGCAGAGTTGAAAAAAAGAAAGAATTCGTCAGAGGGATGTAGAGCTTCGACAACGTGATACCGCGTTACAATTCCAAGCTCAGTGGTTGGAGTTAGCAAAATCGGGATTGAATATTTTAGATAAATATTTAAATGACAAGAAATAAATGTGAGAGAATTAAAGGTGAAATAAAATGTCTAGGATATGACATTAAAAAGCTGTGCCTTTGAAATTGCTAGCAGCTTTATAGATATGTCTTCCACACATTGAAAAGAGATTTTTGGTTTTTGTGCATAGACCTATGAAGAAAATATTAGATTAGACTTAATTATTTTTGTAAATATATGGAGTTAATTTACAATCCTAAAATAAACTGGTTTTAAAGTTCCAGGTCGTTTGGAATACATACCTTGCCATTGCAATTGTATTTACCTATTAATCATGAGATATATTAAAGTATAATCCAAAGCCAAATATTTATCCTGTGTTGCTAATTGTTTAACATCATAACTGAAGCTTAGCCAGAGTTTTCCCTTTACGAATTTTCGCTAGCAAAACTTTGTATAATTTAAAAACCTTTAAGTTACAATACGTTATGTTAGTCATCTAGTTGTGTAGTATAAAGTATGAATCTACTTGTAATTTATACCTTCTCAACAGTGCCAATCCAAAAAATATATTATATTTGGGAAATTTCTTAATGTATGTTTGTATGTATAAATATATATATATTTGCACAAAATATGTGCATAAAATAAGGTCCCGCACCACAAGAGTCGGGGATATTGGGAAAAAAAAAACAGTGCCAATAAATTTTTCTCTTTGGGTTTATTATAAAGTAATTATTATTAATATGGCAACTGTAATTTTGCATAAGGAGCTTGCTTGTTGTAGTTGTTAGAGTTACCGCAATAAATACATCAATTGGATGTAAGTTAAGTTTATATGGTTTTTGACTGCATACCTACCTACCATTTCACGTGCATAGCTAACTTTTGTCTTTAGACGTTGTTGCTGTGGACAAAAAATTCGTTCTAGATTCATTATTATTGATTTTTTCCTTTTGTAAATGTTTGAACCTTTTTGTAAATATAATGTATTCCATGTTTGGCTATATATTATTATAATTGTTTTTTATTATATGTATATAATTTATGTTAGCTGAATACGAAATAAATAGAAATTTCTATCAAGCTAACCCATAAATATTGTTTCTAGTCAAATAAATTTCGGGTTAAAAGAGGCTGTAATTAAAGCATTTTTTTATTATAGTGTAAGTACGTTTTACGTTTTGATGTTTACAAATGCCTTAAATGCAAAGTATGGTGCGTAAAATGGAATACAAAAGGCCTTAGGTGTTTCAAATATTTATTACAGGACTAAGCATAGACTAAAAACGGACGTAACTCAATAATCATTTCGATTTCTTAATACAATGCAATAGAGTCTACAATATATTGATTTGTGATATGTAATATCACCTTATCCTTTCTCGTGACAACTCTATGGAGGCTCTGGCATACAGGTTTTCTGCATTCAATGTTCTCTGAACAGTATTGTTTTGACCAAACATGTATGGTATAAAGGGACTTACATAATAAAACATAATACAATTAATATTCGATTTTACTTTTAATATATGTAATAAAATCATACGATCAGTGTTGGTCTAGTCGCTTCAGCGTACGACTTTCATCCCTGAGGTCGTAGGTTCGATGCCCGGCTGTTCACCAATGGAATTTCTATCTATGTGACCATTTAACATTTGCTCGAACGGTGAAGGAAAACATCGTGAGGAAACTGGCTTGCCTTAGACCCAAAAAGTCGACGGCGTGAGTCAGGCACAGGAGGCTGATACTCTTCTATTAAATTGACAAATGGTCATGAAACAGGTACAGATATCTGAGGCCCAGACCTAAACAAGTTATAGCGCCACTGATTTATTTGACTACTATTTAATACTCTTATTATATAGAAAGAGAATACGTAACATTACTCTTTATTGATTACCATTTGATTTTCAAAATGTTTATGATATTATCAAAACAGAACTCTTTAGTAGTAAACTATTTAATTAATCAAAGTAGTCACAATGCACAACGTTTTTAGTTTATTAAAACTTATACATTTGGATGAAAAGCGTAATTAAAACGCAAACAAACGGCCGCTGAGTGCAGAGGTCGGAAACAGATGTTCAACAACGATCTTTGCAGGCTTGATCTTTAAACAAAAGCGTTCCTTCACTACCGTTCTACATGCTGTTAAAATACTTCACACTTTGTAAATGAATAGTTAATGGAAGTAGGGTGTAGAGAAACTTCCGGATTTAATTTCAAGTATATGTAAGGATATTTTTTGAAAACCTTTTAAATAAATGCATTTATAAATTAGACCTAAGTCTGGGCCTTTCTGAATCTGTTTCATGATCATTTGTCAATTTAATCCGACTTTTTGACTCTGACTCACCGTTCGAGCGAATGTTAAATGCGCTTATAGAAAGTCCATTGGTGCACAGCCGGGGATCGAACCTACGATATTAGGGATGAGAGTCACGCGGAAGCCTAGGCTAACACTGCTCAAGACTGCACTGCTCCTGTTTAGTAGGACATAGGTATTTATTTATTTATACATATAACGCGTGGTTTTCACTGGGCAAATAGCATAGCATTCAATACAAACCGTTTTTTTATATTTATGGGGCACACGGTAATACTACTTTAACTACTCGAGAGTTTTTTCGTGGATTTCTCCGCCACTTTGCGTAATAGAGATATGAAGTAAGCTAAAACAATCGTTGGCACTTAAACGTCACGTGCTTGAAGTGGCATATTAAACAATTATGTCAATAATAAAACGTTTAAAATGAAAATGTGAAAAATGCTAAAATATTATATATTAGAGGATAGCGCTCATAGTTATGTTAATACAATGTAGAACGTGACCCACGCTTTGAGTTATAAATATTCTTATTATAAATTTACGTATAGTGATACAAAAAAAAATCGATTTAAACGTTATTTTCGTCCGGATCGTGACTCGTTACAGAACAAAAAGCTGCGCCCGCGCCGCCGACCGTTACCATTCGAAATACGAAAGTGAACCTGTCGCACGACATCGTTTGTTTCGCTAATAAAGCCATACTTTTTTTTAAACTACCATGACTTCTGCTTTGGGGTATTAGCTTGTAGAATCAATATTTTATTAAGAATCAAAGAGATTATAAATCATGCCCAAACATAGCTAGAACCGTATGTAGCTTCTCGTTCCTTCATAGGATTGAGTTTTCAACGTGAAAATTTAGAAACCTACTCTAAATAACCCAAAGGACGGACGCTGATGGTAGCAGGAGGCTTTCAAATTGATATATTTAATATTCTATGCATTTATACAATTTACGTATTTATCAATAAGGAATTCATTACACATCACAAATACAGGATATGAAAAAATAATTAATTAATTAAATTCTTTCACAGATAAGATTTTTAAGTAACACAATAAAAATAAATACCATAACATGCACGATAATGTCAACACAGAAAAGTAGAGAACACACACATAAGACAAAACAATTACGCCAACGATTTTAAACGGTGCTTGAAAGCAGTATTAAACATATCAACTTTGAAGCAGTGAATTATTTATGTGTGGGGTCACGAAACCCGATATTAGTACGCGTAATAGGTAAATCAAATTTATTGCATGAGCTAAGAGACCTGGCTTTTAAAGACCATGAATTATCTTTTGAAATGGTCACCCTATCTGTTCTGTGCAGCGTGGTGAAGCTAATGGTGTCGATATCGATACATCGGCGTTATTCAGCTCAACGATCGGTATCACTTGTAATATTTCATACCCTTAAGTTTTTATTAGTATTTCTATATTCTATGAAATAAAGGACACGCTCGTGTCGTGTGTATAGGTTACGTGACTTAAATTAAAGCTGAAATAAAAAACAGAGATTCTTTTTTTTTTTTTTTCATTTTCATTTTTCGGACCGAACTTATTTATGGGACAAAGATTCCTTTGTCGAGCAGTAGGGGTGTAAATCAAAATAAAAATGCGTCTAACATAATCCGAGTAAATCTAAGTAGTGATATCAAAAAAAATGTGACTGTCAAAATGTAAAACTATTTTGCAACCCTTATCAAATTATATTAAACTAAAATTATGTATTTCGAACAAGGGGTAAGTAGTAAATTCTGAACCCAGAGATCGTTCGAACTATATTTTTTATTTGCAGAATTAGCTAGAAAGGCGTCGTGAGGATATTGCCTTCGAATCAATCGTCAACGTGTGTCAGGCACAGAAGGCCGTTCACCTACTTGGCTATAAAATGTTCTTTAATAATATTTAAATTTTAATCCTACTTGTAATTTTTTAATTCAAAATAATAAATAGAAATACGCAGAAATGTCTGTATGTTATCTCGTTATTAGTTACGGGCAAAAAATGTTTGAAGTGAAAATTCTTTAGGCGAATGAGAATATTTTTTTACGGATGAAACGCAATAACAATAATATTAGCGTAACGAAGATGTGCAGCGTTTCTGACATGTGTACGTTGTACGCACGCACTTTTTTAAATTAATATTTATGCTGTAATAAACGACAAGTAAGAGATGCCGCTATTTAAATTAGCTAATAAGTAACTCTAATGCAATTTGTCCTATTTGATTGGGTGTTGAATGATTAAATTATATTATGTAATGTGACTATACTCGTATAACTTCTATGACATCTTAAAACTCTGAAAATGTTTAAAATGTTTCAGTATTCATAACAAAGTAAACATTGGTGCAAGTCTCTAGAATGTAGTCCTACATACGAATCTAGCTGAAAACTAATGGGGTTTTCGAAAATGCCCTATTAATACAAACAATGAAGGCACAAACATTAATGACGTTCAATAGAACGACGATCGCAATTGAAGAAAAAATTGAAATTAAACATATGCGAAAACGTATTAAAATTAAATTAATTAAAAAGCAGTGTTGGCCTAGTGGCTTCAGCGTGGCACCCTCATCCCTGAGGTCGTAGGTTCGATTCCCGGCTGTGCACCCATGGACTTTCTTTTTTTGTGTGCATTTAAGATTGGCTCGAACGGTGAAGGAAAACATCGTGAGGAAACCTTTTAGATTATCAAATGATCATGAAACAGATACAG